TCCCTTCTGATTTCTGGCGAAACTGTAATGGTAAATTTGTCCAAATAGCAAATTAACACACCACTAGGGTTTCAGAAATCCTTCTTTAGATTCATGCATACGTGATTGTATAACATAGAAGTTGTGACATCAATAAAACCACCATAAACACAGTCAGCTGTTACTAAATCAAGTAAAGGGAAACGCCCAGTTCACACCATCGTTTCTGAGTCAGTGAGACTGGTTTGTAATGATAGGTCTGTGCAACTTGTTTTCTGTGGTTCAGGTGAGCAATAGAGGTTCAGATGTAAACAAGATCGAACACTCACCAGAATTGGATCAGTGGAGAACTGAATTTTCCTTTTGGGGGGAGGCTCCTCCTCATCTGACAGAGCGGGGGCTTCGTAGATGTCATCATACTCCATGTACCTTTGATCTGCATCATCCTGGTCCTCCTCATCTTCTTCTTCCTCCTCCTCATCTTCTTCTCTAAGGATCTGGTCTACATCCCTGTCATCTACAAAGGCTGCGTTCTCAATGCCATACACCACTGGAGAGGCTCGCTCCAGGATGCTCTGGCCCACCTGTCCATCCATCTCAATCTCCTCCTCTGCCACTTCCTCATCTTCCTCATGATTATCATCCCCATCTTGACAGATGATTATACTATCTTCTTTTACATCAAACTGCTTCCCATCCTCCAGGACTCTACCTTCACCTAATGTTTCTGCTGAATTGTAGGTCTTTTTGGAAACACCTTGCATTGAGACCTGCTGGGAAAAGTTGGGACTTTTTTGCAACTTCTCTTCCTTAAACACATCATCTTCAGCATTCTCATCATCATGTTCCTCGCTCTCTGAAGACTCATTGTGAACAACTACTAATTCTGCCCTTACCATGCCACCCCCCTTAGAGTCCAGTGATGGATTCTGGCTGTGCAGCCTCTCACTTGTACTATTATGTGACTCACTGTCATTACTTCTGGAGATAGTTTCAGAGTTCTTGGCTCTGCTTGTGTTTTGAAAGCCACAGGCGGACGGAGTCTGCTTCACATCCCTTGGGGGTGGACTATGTGGTTTGCCATCATCCCCTCCAACAGATGTCCTGTTAAATCCATCATTAGATGATGAAGAGCACTTGTAGCCATGGTTGATTTCAGTTTGCTCTGTTGAAACGGGTTTCTCAGTGTCATCAGCTGATGGAGAACCACACTTATAAGATTTGGCTCCGCTACTCAACCCAGATTTTGACTGTTTGTTGACAACACTTGCCATTTGGAATGTAACTTTGTTAGCGGTATTAGTTACAGGTGAAGAGTTAGTGGTTTCTTTGACAGGTGACATAGGTTTTTTATGCGGCGTCTCTCTTGTTGGAGAGGTAGGCGATTGTTCAGCACCACAATTTTTGTTTGCAGAAACCACTGCTCCCTTTGCAGCAGGTAGGTTGTTCTCTTCAGAGTCAGCCTCAGCCATGTAATTTTCCAACCTCTTGGAAATTGGTCCAGCATTCAGTAAGGTTCTTGATGAATGTTTTTTCTCACCATCAGCCTTTTCATCTGGTCGACATTTAACTGCTGATGTGGGAGTTTGCTCTGGTTTGATAGCGGTCTCCGAGGATCCCGATACTCTCCTAATGTTTTTGCCCTCATCAGAGGCACTTCCAAAGGACAAACGATTCGACACTCTGTTCGGAGACTGCTTTTCAGCTGCAGGCTGGTCTTTGATGCCTCTTTCAAAGAGTTTTCTAGTCACAGAAAACTTTTCTGCCAAAGCCACTTTGTCAATCTCAACATCCTCCCCCTTGGGTGTTTTATCTAAATTGTGTATTTCTGGGCTTGTGGAAGTGTTGAAGTTAACTCTTTGAGTGTTTAGCTTTGGTGGCGACACCTGCGGCACATCAGGCTTAACGGGTGATTTAACCTCTTGGCACTCCTGTTGCTGACCATCCATCTGCAAGAATATATTCTTTATCTTGTTCACTCGGGTTCCAAATGGCCTCCCCCTTGAGTCCTCCCGGGTGTCACTGGAGCCATTTGTGTATGATTTGGCACCACTCTCAGATTTTGGCCCATCAAAGGTGCATTTAATTGCATGGAAGTCAGACTTGTAAGCATTTCTGTGGGGAGAAGCACTGCGCAGGGTCCTTTCACCTACTTGTTTTTCTGCTTTGATCATTTTTGTTTGTGTTGTTTGTGAATACAGCCAATGTCTGAAAAAATATTTTTGGGGGAGACTGTAGCTATTTGACAGATTTTTTTTTATTCCTCCTTTTTTAGACAAGTGGTGTCATGGTCAGGGTTGGTGTCTTTCTGGAACCCTGATGTCAACTATGCAGTCACGGTGAAGTCCTCTCCACAGAGTAACAGGCTGCAAAATAAAAACACCAGACAGCATTACCTCTGCAGCAGAAAATGTTCAATAATATTGCTTTCCTTAGTCAGAATCCCTTAAGGTCATATCCTTCCAATACATTTTACATTGATATTTGGTTGGACTTAATTTTATGATTTTATCTATTTGTACCACATTTGATTAACTAATAACTTGAAAAGTTAATGTTCTTGGATCATCTTGCTTGAAATTTCCCAGGTAGAATAGGACACACTCACATAGAAAAGTTTTAGGAACAAGTGATACATGTTTACAGGGTTTGGAATTTAATTGTTTGAATAAAGCCAAACGTTGGACTTGAAAATCTTTAAAATAATCACACAATGACAAAGCAGTCAGAGTTCAGAAAAGGGGAATGACGTATCACATTTCTATAATCTTTCAGAACTGAAGTATTCCTACAAATTTTAATTTAGCAAGCAAAATCTTTTCAATATTCTCAAATTAAAAACCTGAGTTGCTTCATATTCAGTATTGATCTTTGTCTGTTTTTCTATATGACAATATGAGGCATTATTATTATTCACAGGTAAACCCGGACTTTGAAACGCAAACTCGCAAAGTTAATGTTCATGGGGACATTCTTTCTTAAGTTATACAGAATGAAGCATAGTATCGTATCGTTTAAAGTTGACGTTAAAAAATGACTATTCTTGGGGTTTTACTCTTCTATTTGGCCCCAAAACTCTTCCGTACGTGTGTGCAATATGTATGTTGACTTCACGTAATTGTGAATTGTAGTCCTCAAATAAAATAAACTTTAAAAAAACGTTACATTTTTTTGTAAACTGAGAGTAAACATAATTAAAGTCGGTATAAACGCTGGTAAACGACAAGGAGCGTTTGTCAGAATTTCGATAGTTATCTGACTTGTGTTCTCAGACAAGTAACTCGCAACCCAGAAAGTGAGTTAAATTAACTTCGAACTTTTGGTGAACTTAGTTGACGCTGTAAAGACCATTGTACTTGGTGAATTCGCTTCGAAAACGCGACTGCAAAGATAGTAAAACGCAACGGGAAAACACTTGAACCCGAGCCGACTGTCTTTCTCTCTCACTCAGAACAATTCATTGTGTTTCAAGCAGCCGTTGAAGAAGTACACACTAACTACAGCACAACAATGTTAACACAAAGGTTAACAACTCGTCGACTCTCTCACCTCTTACTTTCCTTCATCGTGTTTGACAACGACACGCAGACAGCCGAACAAGCCGCGACGTCCGGGTTATTGTAGCAGGAAAGTCTCGTCACTTCTACTCCTCGCTCAGCGCCATCATTCCCTGCTCCAGCGGCTCTTTTCCTCCTCCTACTCCCAGACCTGACGCGGGCTGCGCGAGCACGTGCGCAGTATGTCCGTGTGCGGTGCGCGACCCCGACTCCTTGTGTTCACTGCCGATTCGGGGGCGTGCGTACATTCCAGAGCTGTAACCCACCACCACTCAGCACTTCTCTCTTTTCTCCATTACCTCCTCTTTTCTTTCTTTTTCTCTCTTTACTGCAGAACCACAGAGACTGTGGGAAAGAGCTCAGTGTAAACCAAAGACCTCTGCTTATGTCTAAGGGCCACACATACAAACTAAAAAACGACTCGCCATCAGACCTCAGTCAAAACTAAGTTCACTCTGAACAATACCATGAAAGATGTCCAGGTTTTGAGAGAAAAAAAAAGCATTTACTCAAACCTGTATGTAAAATTAATGAGCTCAAGCTGAAAGGGGAAAAGGCAAAGGACTCTGTTTCTTTAGCAACACAAAATGATTCTGACAAGTTTAAATAAAACAAATAGAAAGTTTTATGAACTTCCTGTTTCACAGTGTGAAAATACATCAGAATACAACATCATGCTAAAGGATATAAATGTGCATAATCAAACATGTATGCATGAAACAGCTGCAGCAAAATTTAAAATGTCTGACTTCCTTTGGATTTGATGTATGATCTGGACCTTTTTGCTAACATGCACAGACAAAGCTTTCTACAGGGGGCACTGTTGAGCGTTTTTTTTGCCATGCATTGGGCTAATAACGAAACTGGCTTTGTATAAACATTGAACAGTATGTGCTAAATGTTACATGGAGTACACGGGCAGTCAAATCCAGTAGCTTTTTATATTTGAAGGAAGTGTTTAATATATATTTGGCAATAATAATCCACTTTCACTTCACACTTTCAGCCAGACCTTACTAGATTACTGAATACCTATTGACAGTGCTACGAATACAACATCCACACCTACATGCTTAGAAGACATAATAAAAAGAGCAGGCATGTAGGAATTGTGTGACAACTGTAACACACGTCACAAGAGCAGGCAATTGTGTGACAACTGTAACACACGTCAGCTTATGATACCATAAATAACCAAAAAACCCACTAACTCAGCACTGAATAGCCTGCCAAAAATCAAAGGTTGTGCTGTCAGAAAACATTTAACATATTGTGCAAGTGCAGTTTTAAAACCTGTCTAACCAAGGTCCTTCTTTGTTCTCTGTTGACATTAACTAGGTACAGAACAAAAAACACACTGTATGTATAAACAGTACAATTACGTAGTGTATTATGATAAGAGGGAAGTCTAACTATGGGTCAGTTATATCTGGAGTACATATGCCCTGAATAGAAATAGGCCACTGGCAGATACCCTAAATCCTTCATACATTTTCTATAGCTGAACATCTTGTTTTGGGATATTTTTTAAAAATTGTTTTACTTATCAATTATTTTTGTTAATATGCTGATATAATGTTTAATTTTGGTCTATCTTGGTATAATTTTGTATTATCAATATGGAAAATGTATTTAATTCCAATGTAAAGTCTTTATGTTGATATTCTATTCACACTGTCGCTCTGTCCCTTGGGAGTGATCCTTCGTGACTAAATCGTTTGTGTTTGATTCAGATCATGTAGAGATGCAGTTACTCTTGCAGTCAGTCACAAATATGCAGATTTAAAGGAGATTTTCTTGGTAGCTGTGAACCTACTTTAATCACAGGAAACAGGAGGCAGATGAAATTTACGGTGACATTCCGTGAACACCATGAGTAGAATGGCTTGAAAGGTGTTTACTTTACACAGGGCTTAACAATAAATGTAGGACAGGTTCTATGTCAATGAGAAATATTTGATATGCATTACATTTCTGTCATTTGTAATTTTCTGAGGCCATTAAATATTGATAACAATGAACCAGACTGTAAGGAGGGGCCAAGGCAGATGGTGATCCATTTATCAGGCATTTTAGTGAGTGTTCACTGTCAGTTGCCCAAAGTGTGATGCCATATTTTCATTTTTAATTCGGCCAAACATCACATAATATATATGACTTTTAGGAACCATAGTACCCAATGAAAAGGACACATATAACATGACTGTTAAAAAAAAGTACTGTGTTTTGAAAACATTTGGAGAAATAATTCTGGAAGTAAATTAGGTTTACCTTGCATGAGTAATTTAGGGAAATGGAAGTTTATGGAAAAGGGTTAAAATAAGGAGTGAGAGACAAGTGTCAGAGAGAATGTTTGTTTTGAGTAACCAGGATATTCATGATTTGACATGTGCAGATCAAAAGAACTACTAAGGTTGAGCAAGTTAGAGATGAGGTGAGAGAAAGGATTTCAACAGAGTGAACATTTGACCAGGACATAATGGGAAAAGAATGTTGGAGAAGGACCTGCCACACAGGAGAAAGAGAGGAAGACCTCAGAAAAGATTCATGGACATTGTAAGGAGCTGCACAAAAAAGACAAACTAGAAGAAATAATAATAATATATTAGCATATATATATTAGCATATATTAACAATAACAATATTACTAATAGTAATAATAATGAGAAAAAGAAAGAAAAGTAAATGTACAAATGTGCAAAAAATTGCATATCCAATATAGAAATCTCACCGTATGCTCAAAGTGAGATGCGTTTATCATTGAATTGTTAAAGTCATCTGACAACCAGTCGTGTGTTCATAGTTTATGTGAGTTCTCATTTGTTTTCTCTAGGCATTAGGGCTTTATATACATTGTCGTAATGTATTAATGTGGTTTTTCATCCTGCAACATCTGTTGGCCATCAGGCTGCGAGAAGAAAAGTCCACATGTGGTAACACTAACTGAATTACCTAAAGTAAGCTGGGACACTAGAAGTGCATTGGAGCTGCCCCTCTGTCTGTGTTTTCTCTTTTTGTGCAAATTGGCAGGACTTTTTTTTTAATAAAACAGTGAAATCAGATTTTCTAGGTGGCAGTAATTCAACCTAAAGACAACTAATTGCCCTTAAAATGGAAAGAACACCACATATTATTTTTGGCACTACTCTTTTTGTGAGCTTTGGGCATAATTTTAAATGAGTTATTTGATGCTAGAATGGGGTTACTTTTTTTTAAAAAGAGGGAATTAAAAATATGTTTTGTCATAGCCACGCTGGATTGCTCACATGTGATTATCTGCTGGCATATACATGGCTGTCATGAAGCACATTTCGCACATACCGTACAGTGAGGGTTTGTAATTGGAGGATTGCAGTAAAGGGTGCAGCTTATTGCCCCTGTTTCACACATGGGTTAGTTCAGAGGTTAATATCCCGAAGGAGATGAATGAATTACCGAGAAAAATAATGGCCGGTCTGAAATCTAGGTAAATGTATAACCCGCTCTGGTAGAAAAAATAAATCTATGACTAAGACCATATTTATAATAAAAACAATGTCCATTTAGCACCCCCTGCAGGGACATTTCACACATGCTACACAAAATAACATTTAAATGTTGCTGTGAAAAATGTTCTTTTTCTTCTGCAGAAAATCATTAGAAGGTTGACACAATGATCATACAGAGGTTTTGTGTCTGCAACCACGCTGTGTTTGCACATAAGGTTTGCATGTGTCTGTGTGTGTTTACAATTTCCCAGCTTGCTAGATCATCTCCTAGCAACGGTCGATCTTAAAAGCTGTACTGTATATCCTCAATTGCAGGTTCTACCCCTGGGGCAAGCATGGCACAATGCAATCATGCCTGGAGTTCCTATAGCAACTCTAATGAACAAGGCAAAGACAACATGAGGAAAACAGGAGCAGGACAAAGAACCTGGGCAGAACAGACAGTGGATATTTAAGAACATTTACAGACTGTTGCTTCTGGAATCGCTTTCTTAAATTGCCAATGTGCTAGATGCAATTTGAAATTTGTCTTGATAGGTGCAATAAATCTTCCCCAAATGTAAGTGAAAATAAGACAGCGTTAGCCAACGCAGTCATAGGGGACAAAAGGTACAATTAGTTTAAAAAATCTAAATTAAAAACAAAAATGTAACTATAATGAATAAAAACTGAAGAAGAAACAGTTTAAGATATGAGAAGTAAATATTATTATTTTTACTTAAAAGCCTAAAATAACAGCACATGACTCAGAATGTGCGAAAATACCAAGAAGACAGAAAATGACAAAATGTCACTCTACAAATAGCTTTAACTGGCCACAAAGGTACATCTCTCTCAACACTGTTATGTGTTGGTCTGGTGTTCCTGTTGTCAGTTGATGGTATGCAGCGTTACAGGAATGTGCGCTTTGTACTCTGCATGCCCCAGCCTGAGCCTAAGCCGAGGATCCCTGCTATTTACCTTTTACATCAGAGGAGGAAGTGTTAGTGACATGACTTTGAGATGTAAACAGATGAGGTGTATACATTTTTTAATCAATGCATTTCTGACTTTACAAACTGATCATATTTCATGAACCTTTTAACAAATCCTCACTCACTTCAGTTTGCAGTGCTGATCAATATCATACAGTAAGTAATCATAGAAAAAGTTTGGTTATTGTATTAATGTATGGATATTTGCAACAATGTAAATAATTATTGAACCTTCAGCAATATTTTGTCTTTCTTTAAAACTATGTCTGTGGTGTAGTGTGCCTTAAACCAACTGTACTTTTTAATCCAGGGTCGTAAATTTATTCAATTGAACATTACCCAAAGTATGACTTGAGTACGCCACGAACCTCTTGTACGTGGAAAATGCTGCCATCTTGTGTTAGAAAGCAGTATTTAATTTTACGAAAAAAAGTTCAAACGTGACTAACTCTCTGGACATTTGTTACCACTTAACAGTGTTGACGACGACTGTATCAGTGATGCAATTTATTGTGGTTGATGATGGGAATTTTTTCTTCTGAACACTTCAAAGTAAGAGTTTTCAAAAGTACATAAAAAAAGAACATGTACTATTAATTCACACCACTTTAGAACTATATGATAATGTTGTCCTGTGCAGCTATGCTATCAGTTGTCCGTATAATGCCTATTTTATATGTCATGAGAGTAAAAAAAAACTATTTTATATCACAATTTCTCAGTAGATGTGATGTAAATTAAAAGGATGCCGAATGACAAAGGACCAAAGAAAGAAAAAGCGAGTTTTATGGCACAGGCAGGATCAGTTCTTACTTTCATTCATTCTTTTTCTACCAATCAGCTACACAACCAAGCTGTCGCAGTACACACGGCATTGTAGTACTGCACCAATGATTCTCTGCACTTGTATCTGCATGTCTGCTTCTGTTACCATAGTAACAGAGGAAGACCAATGACCCCTTCATTATGTGGCCCGTTGTGAGAAAGCTTCAATTTCTGCAGGCCATTATGAAAAGGAGTCCACTTAGAGTGAATACAAGTCAACAGTCTCCATACAAAAGAGCTGCAGAAGGCCAACGCTGTCACTAAATTACAGCCATTTAATTGAACTCCTTGTTGACAAGGAACGCAGGGTTTTGTTATTTTCTAAAGTCCTGTTGGCTCTAGGACCGTCATGTAAATGGTCATGATGAGGAGATTGACAGGCAACCAGGGCAACCTACAGCAACACTATACTTAATTCTTAAAAAAGGTCATTGTGCCATCCTGTGACTGTTGAAGACGGGCACAGCCCCCTTATTAACCTACACTGTAACAGGTGCATAATAACGGTTTTCACTTTGTTGATGCAATTCCAGCTGAGCAAACCAGTGTTAGTAAATTGCTATACATATTGATCCTATTTTTTGTTGGAGAATTGCTCAATTTTATAGAAGAAAAAACAACTTTTTAATGGTTTTTAAAATGACCATCGTTTTTTAAATATTTACCATGGTGACTATTTTTTTTTAATTGCAAAGGTTAGTCAAAGTTAGCCAATAGTTGACATGGTTGAATCAAATGTGAGCTGAAAGAAAGCCTAAAACTGTATCTGCTGGGGAAAAAGAACAGCAAAAAGAAGAAAAAGAATTCCGCAAGTATGAGAACAAAATAAAGAAATCAAGTGTAAAACTTTTTTCATGATCTGTGGCTGTGAAAGCTGCTGCAGTGTGTGGGCTGAACTGTTAAAAATCACGGCTATTATCACAACTTATGTAAAACACATTATCAACAGCAAGGTGGAATCATTTTATTTTTACACACTTCACTTCTTTTATGAAACCATTTAAATGGAGCCTGTTCTCCTGCAGTCTATTCGTTTAAGCTATCCAACCATGGAGTGTTCTTGATCTGTTAAAGTCACTCGAGTGTTGAAAATACACTCCAACTAGTTTCCTGCAGCAGCCGAGGTGACAGTTGTTCCACGATGGTGAGCTACGATTTGGGTTGAATGAGAAACTAATCTGCTGACAAATACTGTCCACTGTCAATCCAACAATTTCGGAGAATTTTGATCAATTCATTTAAAAAAAAAAAAAGAAAAGAACATTCTATTTTTTTATTCTAACCAGCCCTACTGTTCCGGTCTGCTCGAGTGTTTGACAGTCCCTTACTATTTCACGCGCCACCTGAGTCAAACTGTGTATTCTCGTGTCAGGAGTGAATGAGGACTGATAAAGTCTCTGCTGTTTCCTCCTCCTCCTCCTCCTCCTTCTCCTCTTCATCTTTCTCCTCCACAGCAGCAGCTGAGCAGTACAGTCTGAGCAGCAGGACCGCTGTTGCAGCATGGTAGCGGCGCTCACTTCTTCACATGCGTCCGACTCCCCCCAGTGGATCATATGCCTGGATAAAAGGTAATTCATTAGGACGTTGTGACAACTGCAGGGCAGGAGGACGGGATCTTCGAGGTCGTTTCCTCAGGCTTGAGTTTTTCTCTTTGTCATCACTGATTTCGACGCCGTAGTTTTAAATGTTCCAGAGGAAACTAGAGTCACTGCCGAACTAACTGAGTTATGACTGTCTGTATACAGTATCTGTATACTTTATATATACTGTAAATGGGGACAACTGCCAGGCAGGTTGGTAAATGTGGAGATGTTACAGTAAAGTCACTGACTAAAATGTCTTGATTGGTGTTGCCATATTTGGCAAATAATAGAAGAGATTATTTTTGGTAAACATCAACATAAACGTTTATGACTACACCAGGTTACAAAAAAGGTTGGAAGAGTTTTGAAGTGAGACTAAAATGCGTTATTTTTTAATTAGCAGTTTAACAATTTTAGGTCTTTACATCCAAAATTAATTTTATCTTCACGGCTGCTTGGATGTATAAGGATACGTCAATTTGTGTTCTTATTAATCAGCATTAGCATCAGGCTCCAGCTAAATTCATTCTGAAACGCTCAAAGAAACTGAAGGATATGATGTGCTGTCCTGGATTAGAGCAGAACTTTCTTCAGAGACCTGACCTGATTACTATAGTCAGCTCTACTGTAGATCACGGAGCTGACAGATTCAGTGTGGAACACATCGTCAGGTGAGAAAGGACACTTCAGACAAGCAAGGGGTTTCATGAAAAGACAGAGTCCAAAGTACGTCGTCTATAATCAGGACATCAGAGTGTCCCAGACCTGTGTACACAGTCGTATCCTCAGGTAAGACACACTCTCTGGTTTCCCAGCAGTAGTTGTTAGCATTCTAGTTTCATTTTGCTATAAAAAAAAAAAGACCACATTCTCTCTACGTTCTAGTTTTTCCACTGGACACTTTTAGAAGCAGTCCTTATGACCTGGAAGCTGAAATATCAAGATTTGAATTTGGAATAAAATATTTTTTGTTCTTGTTATTTTTTATGCACATGTTCCTGGTAATATTTTAAGCCCAAAGATGACTTTTTGGCTACTTTTTGATTTAATGCATTTCTTGGCAAACTTTCTTTGGCAAATTTTCCTTTTTTTTTTGTTTTCGAATAAATATCCTTGTTTCTTTTTACAGTCAGCCACACACTCATCTAATATATGACTATCACTATAAAGTTCTGCAGACGATGAAGAGGCTGAACTCTTCATCCATGGTTTTGCTCCAGGGAAACTCAGACATTACATGTCAGTGAGTAAACAAATGTGTGGAGTTGAAAAGGTTTCCAGGGCAGAGATGATGAGGTGGAGTCATTTACTGACCAGTCGTTACTCAAACAGCCACACAGCAGATAATGTAACAGTGCAGTAAATCACTTTTAGCGCTGCATTAAGTCAGAGCTGTTGGCTCTGGTCAAAGAAAAGCTGTGCCTCACCTTCTGAATCATTGATGGTTTGGTTTCAGAAGCACAGAGTGAATGAATTGTCCAGCAAAAGCACTTTGACACACAGCACGTACTGTAATGGCTTTGACTGTTTTACTGAAGGTTTATGAAACTTTCAACAAGCATTTCTGTTTTAAGGGGGCCAGGTTTTGGACCAGTGGTTAGTGCTTTTGCTGCACACCAGAAAGGTCAACAGTCGTACAAATTAATCTTTTGATGAAATCATAACAAATGCAAAATACCATTTAAATTTGAAGTTAGTATCTAAAAAGTAACTTGCCACCACACAGTCTTAGTGATTTATGTACTATGTAGATCACAACAATTGGCTTTTCCCACAGTAACACCGTTTCCATTGACTTTGCTCAGTCTGATTTATTTTATAATCTAATAAATTCTCTCTGTTGGTATAAAATATAAATTGAACTGTAAAGGTTTTTCTTTCTCCCTGGATCTCCAGACCTGGAGAACGCACCGCAGAAGATGTCGACATTATCTCTGCCCGTCTGAGGAACGTGAAGGCCTTTGAGGGGTTCCGGCCTGGTTTGCTGCGGCAGATTTGTCTGTGTGGTTTCTACGAGGGCTTAGAGAAAGGCATCACCTGTAGGTGGCGGTGTGTTTCAGTGGGTAAGATGTTAATCTTCCCTCTGCTGTTTTCTTACGGCCTATTCTGTCAGTGTATCGACAGGGAGACATTGGCACCAGCTGGTACGCTGTTCTCTCCGGTTCTCTGGACGTGAAAGTGTCTGCGACGTCCAGTTTTCAGGTAAGACTGAGTCCAAATCAGTGAAACTTAAATTTGCTCATATACTTTCAGCATTAATTCATCTAAGCTCAGTTGACAGCATGCAACATAATATACATTCATTTACAAGCTTCATAAATAATATTTGTGGCTCTTCTACTGAACCTGAGCTATTGCTACCTTGCTTTTTCAAGTAGTGGTTTCTAAATGGGGGGCGGGTCCTACAATTGGCACCATTGAATTTTTTGTAATTGCAGCCACAGGGAAAAGGTTGCAGTGAGTTTTAATTTCATTTAATTTCTTTAATAAAAATAGCAGTTTTGTAGGAATTACTTTTTTAAGAAGAAGAAGAAAAATAGTAGAAGAGTAGAAATAGCTGTAAAAATGTTTTTTTGATGTGGGTGGGAGCGTGACTGTAGTCATTTGTTTTAGACCACAACATTTTCATCTTTTAGTTATCTTAAAAATCATGATCCTCCCCACACACCTTCTTTCATTTTCTGGCTTGTAATGGCAGCTAACATCCTCTAGGTTACATTACTGTGACAAACTGGGTCTACTTCCAACTTTTTAAGGAAATACCTGTATATTTTTTATTGACTGGACTATAGAACACTGTGCACATTAGTTAGTGTAGTAAGGTGTGTGTGTGGTTATACTCTTTTATGTGTTTGCAGAATAAAGTCAGTGCAGAGTTTTCTGGGTAAGTGTCTAATCTTTAGTAGGAATATTTGAATTTCTTTTTGAGTATAGCACATACAGCAGAAGCAGTATCTTTGGTTCAACACAGATTTTTTTTACTGTGTTCTTGTGCAGAGGCATGATTTATTTCATGGAGCCATTGATCCATGTGGAGGAATTACTTCTCTTTCTGCTTAAGGATGCTGTTACCATCTGCACACTGGGGACCGGCACAGCGTTTGGAGAATCAATCTTGGACAACACCCCCCGACATGCCACCATAGTCACCCGGGAATTTAGTGAGCTTCTGCGCATTGAACAGAGGGAGTTCAAGTCTCTGTGGGAGGTAAGGGCGTATTTAACAACATCTCCAGTGTTACTGAGAGATGTAGAATTTAGTGTCCTTAAATGGACTAACTCTGGTCTAATGAGAACATCCACTCATACCCAGGGGTAGTTTACACTCATTAAAGCGTGAGTAAAATTCACATTCTAGGAAATGACTGTAGACTGAATTTAAGTTAATGTTGGATCCTGCTGCAGTGATTAAAAAATAAATTTCAGCAGTAATGACCTTCCAAAAATCCACCCAGAGCTTATTTTCTCGTGCTGCAAAATAAGTGTAAATGTTAAAATAAATAATTTTGTAGATAGTAGGAGAGGGAATGTAAATTTGGCCATCTTTCAGACTAGTTGTCAGTTAAACTAAGCACAAATCCTAATCTTTTGTGTCTAAACAGCCAATATACCATATACGTGCTTCATATTCATATTTACTGGACATTTCCAATGTTGAACACTGGGTGGAAGTACTGAGCTGAAGGGAGGCTGTCACCCTGTGTCTGTCTGTTTCCTTACTTGCTGTGTTACAATATTACTATAAGTTATAAAGGTTTATAATAAGAATAAATAAAAGTACATTTTGTTTCTGGGCCAGCTGTGCTGAACCCACTCCTCTGTCGCTCTGTTCCCTCTGTGTTATGGGCTGGTTTCCTCAGAGACACAGCCCACTTCCTCTGGGACTGAAGGGCACAAGTGGGTCATATCAGGACCTGTGGGTCTGTCCTAGTGCACTGACACACACACACACACTCTCACACACACACATGTTCTGTTGGGACTGTACTGGACTCGATGCTGATCACTGTCTCACTGATGATCTGAGCCAAATTCTTCAACAAGGTTAGTTCCAGTTATGGAATAGAATGACCAGTACTGATGTGCTTCAGTCTTCACTGATGGGTCATACAGTATTTTTAGGAGTTGCTTATTACATCAATTGCACATTTAAGATTTTTCTTAAAGACAGAAACTGAGCTTTCCTTCGGGGTCAAACACAACTTGTTGGAGACCGAACATAGTTATAATGGAACAAAAGATGAAAAGTTGTCTAATGAATCAAACGTCACACAACGTCTCACAGTACCTCAAAACCACCGACATCCTTTGCCGTGTTAGTGTCTTCAAACATGCCTGGAGAAAACAGCGATTTCTTCCCTGCGGTCATTATTACTGCTCCTGTTATATCACACGTTACGCAGATGAAATGTTGCTGTTTACCGTGTGTATGACAGCCAAGAAAGCCATGTCAACAGTTACCAACATTAGCATTAATACACCGATTGATCATCTGTCTTAAGATGTGCTGACGTGGCTTTAAATCACCATTCTGCAGAAACTCTGACTGAAGAGCTGTCCAGCCATAATTTAAATAATCGGCCTGGCGACAGATAATCATTAAACTCACTCGCACTTTGTTATTCTGACAGCAGTTTCCCTCATTTCTTTGGGCAGTGGTGGTAAATTATTCTTTGCCGTTTTGCTTCATTGCAGGAACACAGTCTGTACAGTGGTGTAGTAACCAGTGGCATCAAAACCTCTGACTGTTTGTTGTCAGCTCCGTGTGCTTCGGTGATTAATTGCCGCCAACTTTTTCACATCTCTGCTGCTCCTGCTCGTCACCCTTGCTCTGTGGGTCCCGCTAATGAGTTCAGCAACTTCACAGACTTCTTTTTTTTTATTAAGCTCAATTATATTTTTATGGTTAAAGACATTAATCTGCTTGAGGTCAGGATTGCCGGTACACTAAAACGCCAAGAACATGTGGGAGGCGCTGGGGGAGGTTCTGTGGGAGAGAAACTGTGAAGGAATATTTGTGAAGGAAATGTTCCATTTACCCTGCTGTGATGAAGACTAAGCCACGGGAAACATGTACACCTCCTCCTCCTCCTCCTCTTCCTCTGTCTTCTCCTCCCACACAGCCCTGTCTTCAACTTTCAGAGTGAACGCAGCAATGTTCCAGTGAACCACTGGGGACTATTTTCTTATTCATGACCATTCATGTCAATTATTCAGTTAATACCTATCCCCCTTGTTTGTTAAGTCTGGAAGTGATTTTTAAATATGCATGTGTCAGTTGTTTTTGTGCTGAACACAGAACTGAGGCAGTTTTACTGCTTTTCATAAAGATAAATGTGTTTCAACATTGTCAACAAGATACAGTGATACAAGTAGAAAGACTTGGGAATGGTTTGTGTACATGAAACTGTGTACATGAAACTGATTTTTGGGGTAGTGTTGATAAACACATGATCTCCCCAGAAGGGGGAGCTATAAACACTGTTAAAATGCCCAAGTGGGGAACAAAGGTTGAAGTTAAACCTTGTCTACACTTTTAAATGCTTTTTTAATTTTTAACATATTATACTGATTATTCACAAAGGAAAATGGATAATAGAAAACACAAGCAGAGGGCAGCTAGACTAAAATGGTACTTTATATAAGGTTTAATTTTAATTTTTAATGGATTTCTGCCTACTTTACTGACATTTGTTCTTGTCGTCCTGACTCAAGTTACTATTATAAATAGGGCTTTGCACCAAATTTGCACATTGCAATCTGTCTTTGGACAGACACAGCAGACATAGGCCAAGCTCCACATACACACACACACACACACACACTCTCTCTGACTGCAGCCTTAAAATCACTCCACTCTTCCTATTGTTTCCTGCTTCCGTTGGCCACTGTCATTATAACAATACAAATGTCATTTGTTTCTTTAAGGCTGTGAGGCGGCTCTGTTACACACACTCTGCTACACACACGCTGTTACACACACACTGTCCCACACTCATGTAGTCTGGACAGGAAGTCTTATTGTCACAAACCAGTTGTGACAAAATCACAAAGCTGTGGATTCACGTGTTTGTGGAACATGGTTTGAGAACCATCCCCTCACAGATGCACGTGGTTTTATTCTCTGTATATATTCAGTGTGAGCGTCTCGACTGGGAGCATGCCTGTTGGGTGGGTTGTTTCTACCGCTAGTCCACAGGAGCAGCCTGATGAACAGGAAGTGGCAGGAGCCTAACGTGCCCTTTAATTGTCCCAGCATTACTTAAGGGGGTGGGTGGAAAATAAGACAACATCAAATGGCTGGCCGTCATTGTTTAGAGAACATAAACAAATTAGTCCGGTGTAAAAGGTCATCGTCATCTCTGTTCATAGAGCTGTTTGTCCTTGATACAATAAATCAAAGTGGATTGCTAATGCATCAAGGTTAGTCTTAAAATATAAAATCAAAATACATGCAGCACAGAAATTAATTTAAAAACAAAACAAAAAACAAGTATAGGTTGATGAAGTAACATAATGATATTTAGAAAAAAACAAACTTTGTTTGCTGAAGTATATGGAACTCCACTCACTTGCCAACCATGGTCTACATAAGAGCAACAACTTAACAGAAAAACAAACAAACAAAAGATTCCAAAAACATGATTAAAGTTTAGCTTAACAACAGCTAACAGCCAACACAGCTGACAAAAACCTAAAGATTTGCCCATATGAGCTTAACACTAAAACAAAAAAATACACGATACAAAGGAACCAGCACAGATATAGCTAAAGGATAGCCAAAAGTATTGCTAACACTTATTCAAAACATACTAAAACCTAAGCCTGTGACATGTTTGCTAAAAAAGTAATCAAATGTTTTTTCCTTCAAACCCAAACTGCTGTGACGTAGTCATTTGGATCTAAGTCAGTGATAGCAAAACACTTTTTAGATATTTTAATGGCTTTAAGTTCGTTTAATATTATCAGGTAAATTTGTATGAAAATTGACAAGAAGAAAAAAATGTTGTTCTAAATAAAATCCATTGATTGTGTATAGGGATCAAATCAGGAAGCCCCTGTTCCCTTTCCGTTGTCTTTGTTCTCCCAGGGCTTTGATTCGTTTCTGTCTGTCAACAAATACAATTTGTCTTCCTGAACCGGTGCCTGCTCAGTACCAACCCTCATCTACTCAAATTTAACATGACCAACATCGGGTCTTACAAGGACTGTGGTTCCCTGAATTTACAGAAACGACTCTGTTCCATGTTTTCCGTCAGTCATGCGTGTTAGACGATGGCCAAGTACTACCACTTAGTCCTCATACCATAGATTGAGATCCACTGCACAAAACCATAAGAATAAATAAATATAAAGTTGTTGAAGAATCTTTAGTTAAAAAATTGAAAAAAGCCATAGTGGGAAACCTTTAGAGAAAATTATGATTGGAAAAAAAGTACATGAGTATGGTGCAGCGACAAAGATTATACAGAAATATATAAATAAATATTAGTCTGGTGTGTATTTTAAGAGCCAGGTTGGCTGGACCGAGACGCCTATCAAGATGGCTATAGTACAGTGTCCTACTGTGTGTGTATGAAATGCTCGTCTTGCTGAAACCCTTTGGAGGAAATGTTTGTATGCGGTTCCCTGTGTTTGATAAGCACCAAAGTCAAAGATAAGAACCCATCTGGTCTCTGTCCTTGAGAGGAAGAAACCCAGTGATAGGAAGATGATGCTGGAAGAAAGAAATCTGGAAAAGCCCGTCTGAACATCTGGGGGTTGGATGGGGTTCAGAAAAAATAAAGTCCAAGAAGAGTAAGCTGTTTGTTTCCAAGTTCAAGAAAGTGACAGAAATGAACTGTACTGAGTTTGATCAATTCACTCTACATCCTGTACACGAGCAGACTCGGCTTTATCAAGTAAATGTGGCCAAGATGAGAATGAGTGACTATTCTGTGGATGTGTGTGTGTAGAAAGAAAGCAAGGGAGTGAGTGTTTGCTACTGTGTCTCTCTCTCTGTCTCTCTCTCTCCCGCTCTCTCTCCCGGGTGCTCACTGGCTGGAGTAGGATAATCACAGAGCCGTGCTGCTGCTCAGTGGAAGTCAGCAGATGACTGTCACTCTGCTGCCCTGACACTGGCAGCTCACTCAGTGCTCAGTGGTGTCCAGATCCAGCATGTGCTGACTGACTTAGTTGACTGTGCTGGACCTCAGTGCAGGTCACTCATGACCAGTTCGACTCTGTGGGAATCTTACAATTGGATTTACATACTTGGAGTGTTTGTGGATTAGCAGGGCGTGGAGGTTCCTACAACAATAACTGGGCTGCATGGAAGGCTGGTAGGATCCACAGGTAATCTGTGACTAATTTGTGACTAACTTTTTGACTGTGTGCAAGAAATACTTTTTAAGGTTGCAGGTTAAGGTTGCTGTCGGTGGATATTTCTTTTGTTTTAAAGATGAAGTCTGCAGTATTTGCAAGTGTTCATTTGTGTTTTCTTCTGTAGATGTTGCTATGATCACAGTTTGGTTTAATTTAATTTGCTGGCTCACATTTATTGTTTGTTGTGTCTTCCTTAAATTTACACTTTAAGTTTTGGAGCATTTATATATGTATCACATAAATATCGGAAGAAGTGGGCAACAGGGCTGTTTAGGTAAACGCAGGGCACAGCGCCCCTGTTTTGTGATGCTGCACACCTCTGTAGACAGTGTGACTTAATGTAAAAAAAAAAGTCTATTCTAAAAAATGAAAACAGTCGACTGTCACAAAGCACACTGACTTTCCTTATGTTGCCTTTACTGAGTCAAACGGACACTTTACCAGCAGAGGAAAAGACGTGTGCGTGTTGTTCCTCCTTCTGCTGCAGCTCCTGCTGCTGCAGACAGTGAAATCAGTGTACACGAGCAAATGAGCATAACAAACGAACAAGCATCACTGCATTAAACCAGAATGGAGCTTCTGTCATTGGGTATTTGGATAAATGTTGATTAATTTGCAAAAAAACGAGCTCATAAATCAAATTATCAAAACGCTCTTATGACTGCATCTATGCGCTTATGTCCCAGACTAATGCCATGAGTGTAGATCATTGTTTCTCTATTTAGACAGACACTTGGGTACAGTTGGACCTGTTTTCATTTTTAGTCATTTTTTTGTAATAATTTGTAAGCAGTCATATTGCCATTGTACACAAACTGTAGAGTCAAATACACGCAACAAAATGTGTCCTCTGCATTTTACCCATCAACCCATTCCTGGGGAACAATAATAGCTTCTGAGAGGCACTCAGAGAGTGGGGTTATTGGTGGCTGAGCAACAGACCGTGGATGTAAACCTGCGGTCAGTCAGCCTTAGACACTATATAGGGAATGGATGAAAAAAGTGATGCTCGCAAGTAAATAAATAAAGTTGTAAATGAAACAACAACAAAACCAAACAGGAAACCACCAGGGGTGTGTTGTAAAGTTGTAAAGTTGTAAATGAAACAACAATAAAACCAAACAGGAAACCACCAGGGGTGTAAATAAAGAAGTCTTTAAGAAAGAAGAAAATACCAACAGGAGGCAGCACTCCTGCAGGTGAACGTGCCAACGTACACTTCTTTTGGCACTTTTAAATAGGACTGAGGAAATCAGTTTGGCTGATTCTGTGGCATGCATAGAGCTGAAACTACAGATGTGTTTTAAAATAATGGATTCTGTTATTAATAAATTGTTAAAATAAATATGTTTTTTGGAAATTGATGAAAGTCTGTTTGTCCAAAACACCATATTGGTAAGTTGTTTTTATCCTGTAGGATAAGGTGTTGGTTGATTATGATTCACAGCCTGCAGTCTCCTTCTGGGCCTTAGGTCCAACAGAATATTTTACATTCCTTCTTTAAGTTGAAAAAAAAAAACTTTGCTAAACCTGTGTTTTCTGGAAAAGGCTGCTGGATGTTGGCTATTTATTTATTTCACCTCTTGGCATTCACACAGATCAGACTTTTAATTTAATGTAAGACGAGTCAGTAAATCATTCTTGAAGGTTTCAATACATCCACTCAGAGCAGCAGATTTTTATCTTGTTCTTTGACAGATTTGTTTTATAAACATTTGCAGATAACGTCTGACTGTGGTGCTTTCTGTCTGGGAATCTAATCGTGAGCAGTGTGGACTAATCCAAAAAGTCTATTCCGTCCCCGCCTCACGCTCTGCATGTGTGTGTTCAGAAGCTTAACAAAAGTGTGGACATTATGCACAGAGATGTTTAGTTCTCCCAGTGGAGACTCTTGGTCTGTCCGTGTCTCAGTAAATGTCCATGTGCTGTCACAGCTAAGCAGTGCAGAGAAACCCATAATAAGTGAAGTAGTCGTCCATGTTCCATTTACAGCTGCAGACAGATGATGGTGATCTGTCATTGTTGTGGTCATAAATGACAGACTATAGGGAAGATGGACCGCAAATTACACAGTTTATACGTTTATATAGTGACAACCTCACATACGGTTGTTCACACTGACCAATAATAAATCTGTCACCAGATTAATCTATTATGTCAGTCAGGATGACACTGAATTATTAGCATATATGCCTCTGTAGAGTATTTGATTGCATTATTTCCAGATGTAATTTACACATTTAAGGCATGGATGTTAAAATGTATTGTAATGTAATAATTGGTACAAAAGTTTACTTTTACTCTGTTTTGTTACTTTAACTACTACAACTGAAAAAATTCTTATTGATCTGGTACATGAAAATATTTTAGAAATCTAAAATGTATAATCTACTGGATGTAGCACCGAGCTCCTTTGTCATGATGTACTGTACACCTCCAGAGGTTTTAGATAAATGAACCGTTAAAAGTTACATTTTTTACATTTTAGTGAAAACAGGAAGAGTTTGGCACTAAAGAAGCAGGAGTTTCAGAACAGCTGGTGAACATGTCATGACCAATGAGTCAGTGACATCAGTTCTAACAACAGTGCTCCTGACACACACCTGACATCCTCCTTTAAAGCTGCAGCCCCCACCCTACACACAACTTTAACCCCTCTGGGAGTACAGCACTGTTAGATCAGAGGGAATTAGTTCATTTGTTCATGAGCTGCTCACTTTAAGTGCTCCTCCCTAATCCTCCACCCTTAAACTGTGGACAAATACACAGAGGCTGTGGTTGTTGAAACGACTGTAGCAGCAGAATGACGGCAGCGCTGATTAACTCTGAATAATTAATCAGTCAGAGGTTTTCAGCCAAAAGCACATTCATTCACTCCCGTTATCAGAGAACATTGATATTATTCCAGCGTTTCACGGAGTGCAGCAGTCCTCCTGACATGATATTTTTAATTGCTCTATGAAAGAAGCCATGTCCCCCCCGTACCCTCACCAAGAGTCAGTCCCAAAAGTGATTAACTGACCTCAGAGGCTGGGATTTGATTTAAAACATGACCTGTGAGAACACATTACCATCCTGGACCACATGATTAGAGAGCTGTAGCCTTCATTGGGACTCCTCCGACCACAGAGGAGGAACCCACAGGGACGTGGTCCATCACTAAGTGGTCCGCAATCAGCTTTTTATTGACCTAGAACACAGCTTCTGTGGCACATAATCAGTTTACATCAGTCCTAAACCACAAAGGAATGTTTCTATAGCATCACGACTGACAATAAAAGATGAAAAATCAATCCACATTTAGAATTGTCTTCTAGAGGAAGGGCTTTTTGAAGGGTTTTCAAACATTATACATTTTTAATTGATACAAGGTGTGGCTTAATCGCAAGTTAATTGTAATTATATTTAAGTATGATCAATCAGGAATAATCAAGACAAGTAAGTACGTTTTTTATGTCTATTGCTGCCATTACTGTGATCTTGACAGTGGCTGGTTGAATGGAGAATGCACTTCTTTCAAACCTTTGTTGCAGTGACCGTCCTCTAACAGCATTAATCAGTCTACAGTCCCTGGTAATCCATGTGATCGTTCAGTTAGTCAGCTTGTAAGTCGTAGACTTACTCACTGCCCTGCACTCAGTGAAGCTGGTCTGATGTAAGCCAGACGTCTGACCTGAGGTTGAAGCCTCCACAAACACGTGCTGGACACTGGTTTGTGAAATAACAACGCAGACCCACTGAGTTGCAGTTTGATTTCCCACCTCTGTCATTTACTGCTCAGTAAATTTCTAAATGGTTCCTCCAGGCCGTGGTTCGACTGTGCATCAGTGGGAAAAACATGGCACGAGGCTCACCACAGCGTTTGAAGTTAGATGCTTGTTGTGTAACTGCGATGTTTCAGGGCACAGTAATGCTTTGAGACAGTTGTACTGTCACGATCACTGCAGCGTCCACGACAGGGCGCACAGACAAATTAGATTGTGTAATGTGTGGGTTGGAAAAAGGGAAACAACATCAAGCATCTCAAACTAAGATTTAGAATTTCAGTGTCATTGTTTTGTATTTTAGTCCTTAATGACTGGGCTATATTTCATGTTTACTGCTTTCTGATCAGGTTACATTAGCATTAACATGAACTAATGAGGAGAAGCTATCAAACAGCAACCTAAACAATGGATACTCATATGCTGGAGGCCTACAGAGAAGAACATTTTCCTCCTGTTGAGGGGAGAAAAAAGTAAGAACAAAGTAAGAAAAAAAAATGCAGAAAAAAGTGTCAAATTCTGTTGGACTTGGAAATGTTATGTTTAGCTATTAGATTGAAGTCTATTTTTGTGTTTCATGATAGAAGATATTTGTAAGCTAGAGATAAGGAAAAGGCTAATTACACATCTTGGTATACTGGTTTAAAATGAAAAGATTGGCCTGTACTGCTGTATTTTAATGTTGGTTGCACTGGTAAGGTTGCCATTATAAACATACACTCGTTTTTGACCTATCATTATGGTTAATCTGTTATATATTTTCTTTATTTCTCTAGAGATATCATCAGTGCATGGCAGGACTCCTGGCGCCCCCCTATGGTGTGATGGAAAGTGGTTGCGACTCTGAAAGTAAGAGACCAACAAGCACTAACAATGAACTAACAAGCAATGAATTGTTAATAATTTATATCTTTAAATTTAATTGGTTTGTCTTTTTCAATTGACTTCTTTACCGTGTGACATTTACTTCCTTGCGTGAGCACTGACCAATCTGAGCAGCAGGGTTCAGTGTAAGAATCCAGAGCTGGATGGCTTCGGGGCATCGGGTCTACTGTATGAGCTTATACAGGAAGTTGGTGTTATGATGGACACATGCCTGAGGAAATGTTTCTCAATTTCCTTTTCAGAACAAATAATCTGGTTACTAAGTTTGACTAAGAACATATGATTGGATCAGCTCTTATGTTGTTTTACTGTGTGGCTGCGTCTGCTGCATTATTTATGACTGTAACGTGCATCGGTGGACTATTGTATCTGCGGAGCTCTGAGCAATTCTGCAACATTTAGTGAAATATTTACAGAGTGCATGCACTATTCATGACATACACAGATTCATTTGCGCTGCAATCAGGCAGGGGTTTGTTCTCTGCAGCAAACATCAACTTCTCACAATGAACTCATTCAGTTTGACTCTTCCTAAAAGCAGCGCTAAGTACTAGCACATCTGTTTGTCTCAGGAAACTTAACTTTACTGTTTTCTGTTTTTTCAAACGTGCCCATGGTGATGCTCTTACGTGCGTTGCCTCTGTTTATGCGACACAGCTTTAGAGCATAGAGTGAAAAGAGAAAGGACAAAATAAAAAAGATGAATTGAAAGTTGAGAGTTATGTGTCATCAGAGCAGCAGTGAAGCAGAGAAAAGAAATGACATTGAGTTTTGTTCATAATTCTATACAATGACCTTTGGTTCAGCATCTCTTAAAACAAATATCGAAATTATACATCGTCATGTATGTCGGTAGTCAAAAAGCTCTGCATGTGTCCACCTAGTGGCTACTAATTGAAATGCAAATTGAAATGCAAATCTATTATAATAATGACAACAATGATGACAACAGCAAAATCCAACAGGCCACAGAATTTGTAAGAGTGACTAGAAATGATATCGCAAGGAAAACGTCACGTGACTCAGATCTATTTCCTGGACCTATGGAGCAAAGGTCTAACGTTACACATCCACCGGTGCCTGGTTCCAGTTTTTATGTATAAATTGGATCTGTATCTGTTCTGTGGCATCAGCTTCTGCAGGGCACGTCTAAGAATAGCTGGGCTTCTTCCCTGCAGATGCATGTGTGACTGGACAACCTTCACACAGGGCAGTGCATCCTGCAGGGAAACAGTGCAGCTCAGAATGAAAGGTCTGAACACTGACGTGTGACCACACCCCTCGGCTCTGACAAGCCCCCTGCAGGACTGTCACATTAAATGCAGACACTTCACTGCATCTGTGGGGAAACACCCACACCTGTTATACTGTGTGTACTACAGTAGACAGATCATGAAGTAGGAATCAGTACTTTGAACAGGTCAAGCAGTTTTTTTTAGCATTTAGCAAGCCGCCCTTGCACGCAGAGAGTTCAATTCCTAGAGGAACCACATATCCCTAATGGCGCCTCCTGTGGCAGCCTGTGTCGGTTGCAAAGACTCACACTAGATTTCCTGTAAATTTTCCTCTGTTTCCCAAAAGGAACGCTGGAAAATGAGAAGCTGAGCAAAAACACCTTGGTATCCAGCTCCAAACATCAGAACCAGGTAACATCATTATTCTGACAAAGTTCAGAATAACTTCAAAATTCACAAGATTATTATTCAGCCCCATGTCCTTCAGTGAGATCTAACACTTTTTTTACATAACTAAATTACTTTTCCTAACCTATGACAGCAATTCATAGCCTTTTGAATAGATTTGCAATTCTAAATCTTTTTTTCTCCAGATTTTGAAAGTCTAGTTAAAATTATCTAGTGTAGGTCATAATTCTTTATTTTAATTTAATTTTTTTATTTTTAAAACCAGGAATTGTAACATTGTACCTGGGGTTTGTTAAACATTATTTTTAAGTAAGACTGTATAAAAGCGGGGGGGGGGGTATTTCAATATAACACACACACACACACAAATATATGTATTTATATACATGGTTCATGCCTTTGCAGTCATCATTTTTACTTTAAAGTAAAGTGAAGTATGGACTGTGAAAATAATTATTCCTTCTCGTTCTAATTCTACTCCTCAGTATGGAGACTGGCCTGGAAGTTTATTTAAAATGAGCCTAAATATAAATAAGGTGACTGCAGCTCCTGTCTCCGTCCTGCACAGTTCCTGTCCCACCTCCTGGTTTCCTGACCTCTGGTTGATAACAGGCCACTAGAGTAGATTTATGATCCTGTGTTCTTTCTTCCAACATGACGGCAAGACCACTACATAAACAGTTAGCATTTCATAACATGTTCCAATTGTGTAATGTCAAATAGCAAATATGCACCACGGCAGATTGAGTTTGACTGTTAAAATAAATAAAAGATGAGGTTGTAAAGGCAGCGTCTCAGAAGGCAAGAGTTAAATCTGCTCTTGGAAGTGGACTGAGATCCGTTTTAAATGTCACAGCCCTGTAGTCAGGCCGGGGGAGAGAGGGAGAGGGGGAAACACCTACTCATTATCCACGTCCCATTACAAGAAGTGAAAACATCCGTCAGCGTTAAAGGAACACACCTTGACTGTGTGTCACAACCAACACAGCAGAACCTCTGGTTTAATGTGAAGTGACAGGTGATAAACACCATTAATGTCAACAGTGAGTCAGAGTGAGGATGTTCTGCAGCTCAGTGGGAAAAATCAACACTTTTGTTATTCTGATTTGTTTGACTTTTTTCTGATTTACTGGAAAGGTTTAAGTCTAGTTTTGTTATATTTTGCAGATGCCGTTTATTGAAAGCCCCCACGAAGCTCGTCCTAAATGCATTCCTCAGGTAGTAAAGCCAGTGAGTCTGTGTTTGGGTGGTAACGTTACTTACTAATTTGACAGCTGCTCAGTTGGACGCTGTAGTTCCGCTGTGACGTAACTTGATTTCTTCTGTGCAGGTGCACTCTGAGAAGATCTTACACGCTGGGAAGGTTCTTCGTAATGCCATCCTCTCCGCATCGCCCCACATGATCAGAGACAGGAAGTACCATCTGAAAACAAACAGGTTGGATGTTGATTTGAACAAAAATATTAAAAATTAATTATGAATATAAATTCAAAAAAGTAAAGAATTGTTTAAAGAGGAAAATAAAGTTAAAAGTCAGTGTGCTACAGCAGTTTTCTTTTTATAATAAAAAGTTATCTTTTATAATAACCTTCTGTTAGCCTCACAGACTCTCTCTCAGAATCTCAGAGGTGCTTCACAGTAAAAATACAGCTCCTTTTCACTTAATTTAAGACAAAGTTAACCACTTTTCTGAAAGTTCACTGACTCCACTGCAGACCCCAGATCAGTACCATAGGGTACTTTATCATTTATTTCCTTTAAAAGAGAATGTACTCTCCAGGTTTCTCAGGAACAGGACTGGTGAGTAAGTGTAATAATAAACAACAACAACAGCATGGCAGCAGACATACTGATGGAGTGAGCAGTGTTTCAAGTGGGACAGCTCTGTTCGTTTTTAACATTTAGTTCCACTTGACTTGACAGCTGTCACTTTCATCACTACACAGGTTTCAGATATTGTACTTAGAGTTAACAAAAAGAGAGTACGGTAACAAAACGTTTTTATTTTGTCTTGTTTCTGTTTACTGTAGTCCAGGAATGACCACCACAGTCTACTGTTGATTTGTTTTTAAATGCTAGCTCAGGTAACCCCACCCCGATCACTGCATTACCTGTCAACTCTTTCTGTTCTGTCCTCCTGTAGTCAGTGCTGTGTGGGGACAGAGTTGGTGGACTGGCTGATTCAGCAGAGCTCCTGTGTCCACTCTCGGGGTCAGGCTGTGGGTATGTGGCAGGTGCTGGTGGAGGAGGAAGTTCTCAACCATGGTGAGGCTGCAACTGTGCACATGTATAATTCAGTCATAAAAGGCAGAATTAAAAAGCATGCTGTGTTATTTGGCTGTATGTTGGTCAAACAGTGGATCAGGAGCAGAGTTTCCAGGACAAATACCTCTTCTACCGCTTCCTGGAAGACGAACAGGACGATGCCCTTTTGCCCAGTGAGGCGGAGAGGCAGGAGAGCCAGGAGGAGCTGCAGGACACTCTGCTCCTCCTGTCACAGATTGGACCTGATGCTCACATGAGGATGATTCTGAGGAAACAGTAGGACTTTTGCAGCCATGTTTGATAAATTCCATCAGCAGGGGGTGATGTTCTACATATTTACCTATATGTTATTTTATTTTCCAGCCCGTCTGAAAGGACAGCAGATGATCTAGAAATCATTTATGAGGAGCTGCTCCACATAAAGGCTTTATCTCATCTGACCACTACTGTGAGTGGATATGGGACGTCTTCACTGGACTCTGAAATTGTTTTTTGTCCCCCGTGGTGGTTAAAATTGTGATCGGCTCATCAGACGCCTTGGTCCCTTTACAATCAGCACAGAAACAGCGATGTAAGGAGGTGCAGAGATGAAAACACACACTGGCGTGGACTCTGTGTCTTATACTAATAATATTTAACAACAGGATAAAAAAAGAAAAACAGAAAGATGGGCTTCACAAACACATTTGTATCCCAATCATCATCTCATGAATGGATGATGATTGTGATATGAATAGATGTCTTATATAGCTGTTGCTATTGCCCAGTAGGGGGCATTTTTTAAACTTACTGTTACTGCAACAAACGTATATTTCCTTCCTGATCCAACCTGGGATTTGGGTACTGCAGCAGGTGGTATGGAGCCAAGAGCCCTCTGGTGGCAGATGAGGGTCCTGTCCCTGCGCCACTCCAGCTCCCTATGCATTAATATGACACAGTACATTTACAACAATTAGCCTTGTTTGGAGTCATGTTAGGGACAGATGAATACCTGTTTTCCGGCCTCTAACAGTAGTTTAAAGAAGATTCTTTTTTCTGCTGCTGAAACTGTTACTTTAAAGAGAAGTGGGCACAGTTGGGTTGCTGCGTGTTGCATCACTGGGTAAAATGACAGCATTTTGTTATTTTTCTAAATGTTGTGTCTCTCTCCTGCACAGGTAAAACAAGAACTGGCAGGAGTGCTGATGTTTGAGTCCCGTGCAAAGACAGGAACAGTGTGTAAGTGTTCATGAAGTTTCATAACTGCCTCATAGAGTAAATATTAACCCAAAAAATACCAGAAAAGTTATTGCTCTGTTTCTGATATGATTTCTTTTTCTTCCCAGTGTTTAATCAGGGGGAGGAGGGCACCTCCTGGTACATTATTCTCAAAGGTTCCGTCAACGTTGTCATCCATGGGAAGGTACGGTGTATGTTCAAACAGGTTGTTCACATTACGATGATGATACTCAACTTGTGGTGCTCCTCAGGGTGTAGTTTGTACTCTTCATGAAGGTGACGACTTCGGGAAGCTGGCTCTGGTCAATGACGCCCCGCGGGCTGCGTCTATTGTCCTGAGAGAAGACAACTGTCACTTCTTGAGAGTGGACAAGGAGGACTTCAACAGGATTCTGAGGGTGAGATTCTGTCTCACGAGCATCACTGTTATTAAAGCAGCAGCAGTGCCCTCTGTTGGCTCAGCCTCAACAATGCAACCATGATTGTTGCTCCCAAAAGAGGAGCAATTTTTCCAGTCATTCCACTAAATCATAACAGGGAATTCAAACCAGTGGCTGTAATCATAAAATGTATGGTATTTTATTAGGAACAATGTGACACTGTGTTTATAGTACATTAGGAGATTGAACTAAAGACTTCCATTAATATGTATCTACACACCTCTCATCCCATACATGAGAAAACTTTTAAAATATTCTCTTAATTCAGTCCACACCAGAGGCCAGAGAACTCCCACCAGAACCAGAAACAACTCATTTCTGTTTTAAACCCTGTGGGCTTCACTCCCGTTGGAAGTGACATCTCTAAAAACACTTTAACACCTCTCAGTGTTATGGTTTTACCTCAGAGGACTCATGAAGAAAGACAAACCCTTGTCTGTCTTTTTGTGGACATGTGTCTGTGTAGGACGTAGAGGCAAACACGGTGCGGCTGAAGGAGCATGGTCAGGATGTCCTGGTGCTGGAGAAGAGCCTCTGCAGCAGTCGGACCTCAGACCACCAGGCCTCGACTTCCCACTACAAGTGAGTAAACACAGTCTTCACTGCATTCAGTGTGTGTGTGTGTGTGTGTGTGTGTGTTCACAGACAGAAGCTGTAGACTGGGAAGAACAGGATTAGTAATTCTACCCCTCCCACCACTGTTCAATTTGGCTTTTATTTATGGCACACGTGTTAAACTCAGGCCCGGGGGCCAAATGTATATAACCCCTATATACTGGCAGAATTTGTAGTATTAGCGGTGTATGTGCTATGTTATAGCACATACATTTAATTAATATTTATAAATATATGTAATATAAATAACATATGTATATAATATATACATATACGTAGTATAATGTACATGTTATTTTATAAAAGATATAATGATAGATTGAATGCAGGGTAATGACCCTGCCTTATATGACTTTAATACAACAGTGACTATTAGGTGCTAACTGTTTCCTCACTTCAGAGGCAACACAAGCCCAAAACAGCGCTGTCCTCTGTGTTCAACAAGTGTCTTGACAGAGTTGCTGTAACACAGAGAGACACTGTGTTGGTAATAACGGTAAAAGCAGGTCTGGCAGGTCACAGTTACTCATTCAGGGTCTCTCTAAGGTATAAAACTGTCACATCTGTGTTCTCCTCTGAGAACATTGTTTTTGTCATTGTTCCTGCAACACTGTTATCGAGTAATGACAAAAATAGTACTGAATTGCGTTTGTTCTCAGAGAAACAAGCCGACTTTACCGACAGCTCTTGGCCCAGACCACTCTTATCTTAATGGCCAGGGAAAGGTTGTAAATCAGAAGTGTTATCACACGAAGCAATCACACACACACACACACACACACAAGTTCAAGTAACTCAGAATGTGTGGAGGCGTCGCAGACGTGTCATTAGACTCTGAAATCTAGTGTTTGCTGATTAGTGAAGGCTGTGTTTTTCTCTGTGCTGCTCCAGATACAAGGTAATGTCGGGGACGCCCGAGAAGATTTTGGAGCACCTCCTCGAAATGATGAGACTGGATTCTCAGTTCCCAGAGTCAGGTAATCCACAGTTCAGCATGAAGCATTCTGAATGATGACAGTTTAGAAGCATCTAATCAATGTGATGATCATTTATTACCAAGGCTTTTCTCTCTGTGGAGAGTGTTTATTCCCCTCGCCCCTCGGCTCAGCATCTCTCTGGCTCGTCCTCCGCCTCCTCTGCACTGACCTGCTTGTTCTCATCTATAATTAGCCACACATCACAGAGTTGATCTAATTACTCTCACTCCTGTGGATACATGTGGTTTTCTGTTGCCTGCGGAGGCGACACAGACAGGGCCATGTGGCCGGCGGCCCTGTGGCTCTTTGATGTGCTCTGTGTTTGACTCCAGCGTCTCTCTTCTCTGTCGTAGACTCAGCCTTACACGACTTTCTACTCACGCACTGCGTCTTCATTCCAAGCAATCAACTCTGTCCTGTCTTGATGGCTCAATATCCTTTGAGATTCAGGTCACTCTAATGACACCTTATATTTAGTACATGTACTACCACTGTTATGTAATATTGCTGTCATGGCACCAAAACTTTAACCATCGCATTTCAACAAACAAACAGCACCTAAATATTAGCTGCACAATTAGCCTCAGAAAGAAAGCCTGCCCAAAGTAGCTTAAGCCTTAAGCTAGCAGGAGTGTGAAATTGCTAAACGTTACTTCATAAAAATACCTCAAAAATGTAGCCAAAAGTAGCTTTTAATTTTAGTAACAAGAATCCTCCCGAACATATCCAGAATTAGCCTGAAATTAATAGCAATAGTTGAAAATATATAAAATATGTCAGTTAAAAACAGAACAAATCCTTCTGCAGATATCCAGCAAAAGTAGCAAAAATTGCAAAAGGTGAAAATACATTATCTCAAAAATGAGTCCAAAGATGACTTAAAGTTTGACCTTTAACCTTGGAGCACCTATCATGCCCAGGCCTTACAAGGTTCTGAGCAGGAGAAGCTGGACTACACACTGAACAACAAGCGCAGGGTGATCTGTCTGGTGGTGCAGTGGGCAGGTGTCCATGGAGATCACCTGCAGGACGAGGGCGTTTTGGTAGACTTTCTTCAGGTAAATATATGTTGTATATTATTTATTATTACGTGGCTGAAGGCTATCTGCTATCAGTTTGCTGCGGTCTCAGTGGAGAAGTTTGACTCTTTTTTGACGACTCTGCAGAACTTTTTCATGGCAGTTTCTGAAGATGCCAAAACTATTCCAGCTCTGGGGGATCAGCTTCCACAACTGGAGACAATAGTGAAGCACAAGTGAGTGAAGCTAAATGATAACAATGTATGATATACCCAGTGCTGTCGATGATGCCCAACTTTATATTTCCTTGTCACAGCACTGAAGATAGCAACGTCTCACAAAAAAAGGTAAAAAGAATCCCTCCGTCAGTGATGAGGCAGAGATGGTTCAACACCACCAGCCTTTAAACCTCAACTTTTAATTGTGTTCCAGCACAAAGTTCTACTGCGACAGTTCAGCGTGGGGAACGATAAGCTTCAGAAACATCAGACCATCAGAAGTAATGATGAAAGTGAGTAAAAGGGATCATCTCTTCAAATATGACAATAAATTGTCCTGGACCTTTGTGACTTTTTTGATCCCTCCTTTTCTGTGATTCCTTCCTCCAGTTTTATTCAAAGTCTACTGTTGCGACCACACCTACACCACCATCAGGGTTCTGGTGGCTACGTCAGTCAGAGAAGTCATCAACGCTGTAGCTGATAAACTGGGGTCGGCAGACGACCCGCTCCTGGGCAACCTCAGTTCAGCGGGAGGTGAGAGAAGCGGCAGGAACAAGACGACACCACAGAGATTCACAGCCATTGGTGTACTATAAATACCTGGCTGATTTAGTGAGAAATCCTGGTGCAGAAAAAACTGTAGATAAAAGTTTTCTCTTCTTTTCTTTTTCTATAAGGTATAGGTATAAGATAAGCAAATTAGAATTATTTTTATATTAGCATTAAAATATATTTTCCCCAAGACTCAATGGTTTATCATTATCATTATATATTCATAGAAAAAGTGATCTTCAGAGCCAGTGATGTGTCAGTGTTCTCCACTCTCAGCATCAACGGACGACTGTTTGTCTGTCGGAGGGATCAGCTGGATTCTCTGGTGTGTTCATGTTTCTGAGCAGAGTGAATGACATCCATTATCACACAATAATAATATGTTTTGTTATTATAATAATAATTATTATTATTAGTGGTAGTAGTATAATAATTATTATTATTTACTGCATAGATTACTATGTATAATTGAACAAATTGTATTTGAACGACAAATTGTTCACCTTTTTCCAGACCCCTTTGCCGGAGCAGGAAGGCCCCACCGTGGGGTCTTTGTCCACTTTTGAGCTGATGAGCTCTAAGGATGTGGCGTATCACATGACCTGCTATGACTGGGAGCTTTTCAACTCTGTCCATGAGGTAACTCTTTAGCTGCCCTGATTATATATAAATTATAACCATATTCTTTTTGTGCTTGTATGTTGTAGCGTTCCTGTTGTGTTTCTTTGTGTGCCTCCTGCAGCTTGAGCTCATCTACCACACATTTGGGAGACAAAATGTGAAGAAAACCACTGTGAACCTGGATCTGTTCCTCAGGAGGTTCAATGAAATTCAGTTCTGGGTGATTTCAGAGATGTGTCTGTGTCCTCAGCTCAGCAAGAGGGTTCAACTTCTCAAGAAGTACATCAAGATTGCTGCCCAGTGTGTTGACCCTTCATCGCTGCACCCAATTTCATTCAACTCTGATTGTAGTTTTGTGAATTTCCTACCTCTTCTGATCTTTTACTGTTTCCTGTCAAAGCTTTAAGGAATACAGGAACCTAAACGCCTTCTTTGCAGTCATTATGGGCCTGAGTAACCCAGCAGTGTGCCGCCTGAATCAGACCTGGGAGGTGGGTGATGATTGAATTTTTTTCTTTTTTCGAAAATACTAAAATCTTAAAGGGAAATCAACCTTCTCTGCCTGTGTTCACAGAAACTACCCAGCAAATTCAAAAAGTTTTACAGTGAATTTGAAAACCTGATGGTGAGTGGAGGCATCAAGATATTTCACTGTCAGATCGTCACTGTAGGTTAAGCAGCGTCATCACCTTCACCATCACCTTAGCCAGTACTGAGACAGATCCATTTAGGACAGTGAATGCAGATCTCAGATCAGTGTGACTGTCTCCACAGGATCCATCCAGGAACCACAGAGTCTACAGACTCACAGTGTCCAAACTGCAGCCTCCCATCATTCCTTTCATGCCGCTGCTGATCAAAGGTAGGATCATTACATTTAATCCTAAAATGTTTTCTAAAGTAAAGTCTTGAGCAGATAAAAAGCAGGTGATAACTTTGCATTTATTATGATTTCTTTAAATTTTACTGTATTTAAAAAAAAAAGTATAACCTAAACTGTCTCACTTCCAGACATGACATTCACTCACGAGGGCAACAAGACGTTCATTGACAAGTTGGTCAATTTTGAAAAAATGGTGAGATTCTGCTGGTGAAATGTGAAAGTTATCCTTATTTTGTGTTAAATATATCTCTTTACCTTCCAGAGAATGATAGCTAATACAGTGAAGATAGTGAGACACTGTCGGAGTCAGACTTTCTGTAAGTCCCTAATAATTAGACAGTATAAATTACAGACATTTTCTATTCCTGAAACGTTGGTTCTTTTCAAACAACCACAAATCTGTGTTATATGTTCTTGTTCTTCCCAGGCCCAGTTTTTCCTCTGGCCAACAAGCAACATCCAGAGGTTCAGACCTACGTCCGTCATCTCAACGTGATAGACAACCAGCGGACACTAACTCAGCTCTCTCATGGCCTGGAACCTCCCAGGACATGAGGCCTCTCAGGGACACAAATGTTACTGCTTTATTTCATGACTTGTTACTACAGTGGGTTGGAATTACCTCATTTCCTGGCAGTCACAGGAAGAACCTAACGATGGATCGCATCACAAAAAAATTGGTTTGGATGCGGTGACTTGACTTGTTAAGTCTTTTATTACAGTCATTTGTAAAAGTGCAACAAGTGTAATTGTTGACAGGTGAAGTGCCTCTCATATCACTGTGCTGGAGAAAACACTGTCATCTCAACTCTAACTTAATCAAGAAGCTCCGCAGATGATCTGTACAACAGGAGATGACATCATTTCAGATTATTTAATAGAGTTTTACATATTCCCATTCCATTATGTAATGTTTAATTTCTTGTTTAACAATGATATCCCTCATATCTGTTTGAAAACTTTTGTAACAAACTGTATTTGTACCTCTTTAAATTCTCGTGCTGTATATTATGTACAAAATTATTTATTTTGACTTTCAGCATGCAGATGTTTACGAACTGGTTCTAAAATGTACTTTGTATTCGTGTGAGCACATTGTACATGTCTGTATGTCGCTAAACTGTGAGTCTGGTGTAAATATTAAATATTCGGATGTTGTGTGTGCCATATTGTTGTTACAGTTTTGATCTACCATCCAAGTCAGTTTTAACCAGTATAAAACAAAAAGTGGTTCTACCTTGTTAAAATTTAGAAATACGACAAACAGCGGTAGTACAGCTTTAATGCAGCAGGGGGTGCTGTTGCCATCAGTATGTTACAGGAGCATTATTTTGAGTGCATGTTGGGAAGTTGTGTAACCGCTAAAATTAATACACACGCACATAGTGATAGGCTAAACAACATCACGTGAGCTCTTCCCGGAAAATTCTCCGGGGCAGTAGTGAAAGTTACCTCCATTCGTTTGAACCTGCACAGAAGACGAACTGCTGCGAAGCCCCCACACGTCCCACTCAGTGTCGGTATGTTTACGGTGTCAGGGCGGGTCTGTGTACGTGCTGGTGAGTGGCAGGCGTCCATGTTAAACTAGGTTATAAGGCGGACTACTGTCATGTAATAAGTAAAATAGTTTTTAAAAATGACAAATGCAGTTTAGGCTGTCGAGTACAGGCTGAACGCTGTTCATGGGAGGAGCTCACATTGATACGTTATTGTTAATGCATGTCTTTCACCAAGACAAAGATAGGAGTTGTCTTGTTTACGCTGAACAACCTAGTTATAATTGGGAAATGTAAACTAGCAGAGACTAACCAAGCTTATCTCAGGATACATTTATTATTTCAAACACGCTTTAAAGTCTTTTAGGGAATACAAATATTGAAACTTTCAGCCCACCTTTGGTGTCTAAGATAGCTACTGCAGCTGCTTCTAAAATCAGTGGTTACTGGAATCAGATTCAATTCTACATGATTTTCAAATTTCAACAAAAGACATTCTCAATAGCAAATGGATCTGGCCTGCAGGCAGGTTAGACGAGTATAGGCTGCACTTTTTGTACTTACTTATTTTTTATTTCCAGAACATTGATCAAACAGTTCCTGAAAAAGGCATTGCCCTGAATTTAGCAGATTATTACGATATATTTACCTCCACGTCAAGGAACCTCTCATATGCAGATTACTAATGCCATGGCAAAAGCTGATCAGGATCGCAGATCACTGTCATTTTTAATGGACAGTAAGTATGGAGTAAGTCATCATTGGCTGTCATAATTCCACATTCCTCGATATTCTGAGCAAATCTGCCTGACACCATTGCACTTTCAGACATTTATTCTGTTTGTCTTAAAAGATGGACAGGAAAAAAAAAATAGATGGTAATTTCTACTCCAGTTCTTCTCAGGTAAAATAACATGGAAATTCAACAGCAGTTTAATTTCCCCACAGGAAGATATCTTCACCACTTTACTATCTGCTCTGTTTTGAAGTAATATAGAATATTCTCTTGATAAGTTTTATTGCCCTTTATTGCCCTATTGACTTTGGTGTATGCACCTCAAATACCCTTTGCTGTGCTAAAATCTGTTACAAATTGATAATTTCTACGGCTGTCAAAATGAATGCTTTAATTGCACTGATTAATTTGCCAGTGTACTCCGACTATTTCACTTGCTGTACAATCCACATGTTGAAATGTATTCACAGTGCAAGAATTTTCCAAACACCTCAGGATTAAAAAATATTGTCTCATCGTCCAGCATGCATTTGTGGAGGCTTTAAATTCAGGTTAGACACCTGGCTTGTGTCAGACTAACCTCAGCGAGCTCAGCGAGCAACTGTCAACACCCTCTACAGACCACAAACCACGCGTTCTACAAACCACGGTCACAGTAATGACAAAATCTACCAACACTATGGGGCTAAAGGTTTTACATGTTTCTATCATATACATCTACCCGCTGGTATTGTGTATTTAGATATAATGATTAATTAAGTTTAATTGTGATTAATCAACAACTACCCCCTGGTTAATCAGGTTTAACAGCCTCACTAAATTCAGAACTTTCCAGACTGTTTTTTCTCCATCTTTGTTTCGGCTTCTTATGTCTTTATGAATTCTGAGGAAACGTACCTACCCAGGAAATGTGGGTTATGGGCACCGACCTACATTATCTGTACTTTAACATGTTTCTATCGGTCCATTTGATTGCAGTGCTTGAAACAGTGTTTGCTACTATGTGAGACCCTGGTTTGTATAAGTACCAGAGTACTGCCATATCTCAGTAACCCCGGCCTCTGGAGTGGACAGACGATAGTGAGGTCCAGACCACTGAGCAGATTGCCGCGAGGCTAAGTATAGCATAAATACAAGTAAATCAGCCGATCGCTGTGTGAAGCTGAATGGCTCCCCTCTGTGACAATGGAGGTATTTCCTGCTGGGAGGGACAGCAATCCCAATGAAGTCCCAGGTAACAGGCTTTTAAAAGCTGCAATTGCTCAGCTGTAAATGGGAAAACTGTGAGCAATGACAGAGCCATCATTTCTCGTTATGAATTATTTCTTTACAAGATGCTTTCATGCCCAGACCCAGATGCAGGAAACACCTTCATCTGCGTGAGAGCCAGTGTCTCAGCTTCAACGCTGAATTTATGCTGTGTGTGACTTTGACTTCCATCGACAGGAGAGGTCAATTTTACAGACAAGACTAGAAAAATAAAATAAAAATAAAAAGAACTGTTAAGTGTTTATTTGCAGCTGAGGGTTAATCACCATATTTGTGCTCTGTGTCTCATGATCTGTGACAGTGGCTGCGTGATCACAGCTTACCACACATACCACTGTTCTTACTGTCTAAGACTGGACTCTGATTCTAATGTTTACTGATTCTGGTGATAAGATCGTCTGTGACTGAGGAGCAGAAAGTTAGGAAACAACAGAGCTAAAATATGAGATGTTGCACAAAATGTGTGGTTAAATTGTTAGCCGTTTTCCTCTGAGTATAGCTCTCAGTCAACAGAAGTAAACAAAAGGTCATGTGAGGGTAATTATTTCTTACATAGAGAAGATGAGAAATAGTAAAACTATATCACACACCCCTGGAACTATAACACTATCATAATGTTTGACCTGGATATATGTTTGTTAGAATTTGTGATCTTATGTTAGCTGTAGATTAATCATGATTAATTGTTCATGATCACCCCCCTTTTTTTGTTCATTAGTGGTATTTAGAGACAAATAGCAGCAGATAAAAAAATATGTCAAACATGTTCTTTGCAACTAAGTCAAATGATAGGATTAATACAATGAACAAATATCAAGAAAAATATGCAGAACATATGACTCCATCTTTAGCTTCATAGAGTTGATATAGTTTAGTTATTACTGTGCGTCATGGCGGTGCTTTGCGGTTCTCGTTCTCATCAATATTAACCAGTCTACAGTACATTGCAATTAATTGACAGTTGTGTCAGTTAGCACAGTTAGCTGTAGATGAACCTAGTGCTCAATAAAACCGATCTGATGTAATCCGTCCGTGGAACCATCAGTCGAAGCCTCAGTGTTGCAATGGTATATTAAGTTCACGATTTTTTGAAAACGAAACTCTTTGCCACAAATTGGTTTAAATAACAACATCGTGTTTGAGCTACCAGAAGTGGGTGGACAGTGGAACTACAGTATATACAGTGCTTATCCTGCCCCTGCGTTAAAATGGGTTAAAGATGGAAACTGATTCATGTCAAATGAATGTGATTAAAGTTGTTGTCCCTGTGGTTCCTCCTCAGAAGCTGAGTCGGAGCTGACTGTCATTATGAAATGTTGTCTCCAAGCGTCTCCTTTGTCCACGTCAAGTTTGATGACATTTTTTTCTACGAGAACTGCGGTGGCGGCAGCTTCGGGAGTGTGTACCGAGCCAGGTGGATCTCCAAGGACAAAGAGGTGGCAGTGAAAAAACTGCTCAAGATTGAAAATGAGGTAGGAGTCATAATTACCTGAGCTTTTCCTATACTTTTTAATTGTCAGTATTGTAATCATTTTAATTGCTACCCCATTTAGTGGGATGTGGTGCCCTCTGTACCTATCACACACACTCATTATACTCCCTCTCTCTATAAATGTGCTGCAAAAGAAACATTATTGCCAAGTGAAAGAATATATTTGGCCCAATTAGAGAAGAGACAGTTTCTGAAATGTCTTTGAAAGCGCCGGCTCTTTGTCCCAAAGACAAAAAAAGAATTATCTTTGAAATCTTTTCACTGAGATTGTTACATTTACAGCCTTCCAACGGGATATTCAGAAAATTATTCATCACGTCTCTTATGAAAATGTAAAGGATCACAGATATCCATTCAGCTTCACTCAAGTGTTGGAGAAATGAATGTTCGGCAAAAATAATAACTAATCCCTTCCCCATTGAGTCAATTGTTCCTGTAATTATAGTGTTTGGCTACAATTAAATAAATTGGTTTTGTCAAGTTTCTGCTCATTCTTTGAATGCTGATGCAAAGCTTTTCGGGTCAGCACTTTCTATTAGCACGTCTTTATGTTCACCGTGATTCATGTTGAACCATGACAACCACATGTTGTTTTGACGAGCTGCAGGAAAGTTCATGAATGACTTTCTACATTCTATACAAACGTACAAAGACCAACGATACCGAGTTCCGTGATGGAGTAATCTTTTCCTCCTTGTACTACATTGGGTTTTATAAGTAGCGTGTACTGTATTTGAGTCGGCAGTACTTCCTGGATGAAGTGGCCAGGAACTGGAACTTTAAATCCATATATGTGAGTCCTAGGTTCTGAATGGTGCCGTGTCAATAAAATGATGATAAACTTAAATTTTCTGTGTCACGGTTTTCAGCTCAGCAACTAAGGATTTTTGTTTCTTTTTGTTTTTGCTCCATATACATCTGGCTTCCCACAGACTTTTGTAAAGAAACTTTCATCACCAGTAAAAGAGGATGGGTTTTTTTTAAAAGTTTTTTTGTGTCTTTGCTCAGGCTGAAATCCTCAGTGTCCTCAGCCACCGGAACATCATACAGTTTTTTGGTGCAATCGTGGAGCCTCCCAACTATGGAATCGTCACAGGTGAGTTGTTTTAAGACTATATACTACTTACATAACGATAGGAGCAATCAGCATTACTACAGAAGTGCTACGTTCAAATTGTTGTAGGTGAATACATCTGCAGCAGATGCAGTTTGTTCAGCAGCCAATGCGGCTGATGTTTCTATGGAAAAGTCAGTGGATCGTCAAGTGCATACACTCACAGGTGGTTTTAAATTGTTTTTGTGGGTTTTAGAGGCCAAGGAACAATACACCCTGTAAAGTTCACATAGCTGTCTGTGTAGATGAGGGGCCCTGTGTGTCAGGGTGACATTTACAGTATGTGTGTGCGTGTGCAGTGTTTCCCCTACCATTATATTGGGGTGGGCTCCCCCACCATAATGATGTTACTGCTGCTCTTTATCTCTTTTATTAAATCAGAACAGGACGGCTTTACAGCTACGCTACCTGGGCAATGTCAGCATTGACTGGTTATAAACTGTCTTCTCTGTGTTGACATACAGCTGACATGTTCAAAGTCTGGTCCTGGGCCTAATTGTGTCAGTGTTATGTGACCAAACACTTCCTTCTCTATAATGCTTATGATCAAAGATGGATGTCTTTGTAAAAGGGTTTTTTTTTTCTGTTCCTGTAAAATATGAACAAATGGATTTTGGCCAATGTTCAACTATTTTATCATTAGCTGACCCCTAAGCTGTCGTCTTGGCTCACTTGTATGTCATATTGGCTGCATCTGAGGTATTTCTTGGCTAACTTTAGACATCCTTTATCTGACTTTCATCGGTTTCTGGATAGACTTACATGGAAGTTGTTTACATGGAACTTTTTTGTTGTGAATTTGAGCCATTACTGTTAGCGTTTTAGCTTGTTTTTAACTGTTTGTTGTACAAATTTGAACCTGTATGTGTAAATACATTTGGTTTGACATTTAGCTCTTTTGTCTGATTTAATTTTTGCATTTGTGTGAGTTTATTAGTACCTGTCAGTAGACAGTTTGGGAGTTAACAACAGACCACGCACAGAGTGAGACAGGAAGTGAATGAATGAAACAAGTGGACTCCAGGGACTGAAAAAAAAAATTAAGCTTAGATTTAGTTTCTCTATTCATTTTCGTGCATTGTGATATTAAAATATGACAATATTATAAAATTATCTCTACTTAAGTGTAAGTTCTGACCAGGAACATTTTAAATTTAATTTGAAGACAAAGTCTGTTCAAAGTGCTGTTTACAGTATTATCAGAGGTATGTGGATGAATAAGTATAGAGTACAAAAGTAGGCTCAGGTAAGCGTGGGTGGACACCAGTGTAGCTGCAGGATCCATATTTACTATTCTTAGGTTTGTTGGCCGATGCCCCGGTGTGATTGTGTTTCAACACTCCCTGCCCTGACGACACTGTATGTTGTAATATAAAACTGATTTTATTGTTCTGCACAAACAGAAGTTTCCTGTCAGGTTAGAGGATATGACAGTGATTTCTAATCATGTTTAGCCTGATCAGAAATCACATTATATAATTCATAAATGATTATTTACAAAATTACACTATTAAAATTGAAATCTTTAATCTTTTAGTTTGGACATAACAAATACATAAGAATAAGTACATTTTAAATACTTTTTATCTCTTTCTAGTATTTATGTGCAAAACTTCCTTTTTTAAACATTATTGTGCAATGTTGGCATTTATTGTGCAACAGGGAGGTGCTTGAGAAATGTTGTGTAATTTATTGCTCAAACCAAGACAATAAAGGCAATTCAATTCTATTCATTTGGGTTTTTTTTAGAGCCACGTGAATGAACTAAATGAACTTTTTGGTCACTGTCTGAACAGATCTCAGCCTTTTCTCTTTGTTGTACTGCATTTTTACTGCTGCACTGACATACTGTATAAAATATTAACTCAGAAATGTATAGGCCATGTTTCTCTTTATATATACATATATGGATTTTCGCAGAATATGCCAGCGGTGGATCACTGTTTGATTATCTGTCCACTGATGAGAGTGAAGTCATGGACATGATGCAGGTCATGACATGGGCCGCAGATATTGCCAGAGGTGACGCTTATATATTATATGTATTGTAGGACACACACACACATACACATACACACACACTTATATATGATTGATTTCAATTAATCACCATTAACATTCCTATTTGTTGTTGTCAAAAACACGTGTTTTGTTGTTTCTCTGCAGGGATACACTACTTACATGCAGAGGCCCCTGTGAAGGTGATTCACAGAGACCTGAAGTCCAGAAATGGTAACAGACATGATTTGAGCATCTTATTATATCCAACACAGAGTTCCTCTGACTTACAACTTTGTATTTTCCATTTTCAGTTGTTTTAACAGCAGACAAAGTTCTCAAGGTATGATTTTACCTTTTTTAATCTTCCCCTAATCCATATCAGTTAACCTATGATTTTCAAAAATGTTACTACGTCGTCTGACAGAGAACTGAACCAAAGAACCACAGAGAGAATAAAACACAACAGTGTGTTTTTTACAGATAGTGATGAAGAGTTTTCCATTAACATCAAGCTGGAATACAGTCCAAACAAAGAGCAGTAAAAAAAGTCTAATGTCATGATGTCACTCACATCATGTGAACAACCCTGATGTCGTCGTTCACTGACGTCCAAACAACTTAAAACCAGCGCCACAACTTATTTTCAGTATATACTTATTTTAAGTCTTTACAGTATAACATTTGGCTACTTCTAACAGATTTAATCCAAATTCTGTTTTCACAGATTTGTGACTTCGGAGCTTCAAAGTTTTTGACCCACACAACACACATGTCCCTAGTGGGAACATTTCCCTGGATGGCTCCAGAAGTCATCCAGAGTCTGCCTGTGTCTGAGACCTGTGACACCTTTTCCTTTGGTGTGGTGAGTGTATATATATACATATATATATATATAGTACTGGTCTAATATAACATGTATGTATATTTGTAAAACTGATACTGAGACAGTTGTTTATGTTACACAGATTTGTTGTTTTTACATTGTTGTACTCGTACGTTTTCTGACAGTCTCAACTTCTGTGACAGGTTTTGTGGGAGTTGCTCACCCGTGAGGTTCCCTTCAAAGGCTTGGAAGGTTTACAAGTGGCCTGGCTGGTGGTGGAGAAGAATGAGGTCTTTGAACATCTTTTCATACGTGTTTCTACTGTGACTGTTGTTTAATAACCAAAGAAATCTTGTCTACGCAGAAATTAAATAGTTTTGAAGATTAATATCACAGAGTTAAAGAATGTCTATAAGTGAGAGGTACAGATGAATACAAAGACTGTAGTAATTGTTACATACAGAAATGATTCTATTCAAAACAGCCATTAGTTTAGACTAAGTTGCATTTAGAACAGCTAACTGTGCCATTGGTTTGTGAATAATAATGAGAACTATCAACAGTCATGGAAATCAATAGTTTGAACTCATTATAATGACACATCCCACTGTTTGTTTCAGAGGTTAACTATCCCCAGTGGTTGTCCTGACAGCTTCGCTGCACTTATGAGGAGCTGCTGGGCAACAGAGCCGAGGGTGAGTCACCTACATCAGCAGCAGGAGGTACCGATGCACTGGTGACAGTAACTTTATTTTTCTGTTTCTTTCAGGAAAGGCCAGTGTTCAGACAGATCCTCTATACTCTGGAGTCCATGTCTAACGACAGCCAGCTTCCTCAGCAGTGCAACTCTTTCCTCCACAACAAGGCTGAATGGCGGTAATGTGCTCATCCATTCTCCAGACCCTATCAATGTATTTATAACGCTGCTCTTTCACCAACGTACTGCCTCAGCCTAAGGAAATATGCAACTGTTTTCAAAGAATGCTGTGGAAATGTAGCTGACGGGTGCCATGAAACACAAAAAGGACTTGAGATCGTGCATATAGATCTTTAATAATTACACTGATGGCTACATAAAGGCATCAAAACCTCCAAAGAATCATCCATCTGGATATACTTCCTCTCTTTACCCATAAGGCCCTAAAATAATCACCATCTTTTTCAAGTAGAAGTGTTTAATTGGCTTGTACAAGCAGCTGGAGGTTTGGTGATGTTCAGCACAGCCTGAGTCTCAGCTGTTACTTTATTCTCTGTCTGCCTCTCTGTGGGGTTTGTCTGTCTGTGCTGTGCTCTGAGGTTTTTTTCCTCAGAACTTGTTCGGGTGGAATCATGTCCGGGCAGCCATCTGCAGGTGGAGCAGGTTGAAGTAAATGTCAGGACAGGACAGGAAAACAGAAACTCCTCCTATCAGCTGAAGTTTGTAGTTGGCAGTTAGTTTACTGTTGTCATTGGATCACTGCTTGTTTCTTAATATTCTCAATGTATTGGGCTTTAATGGCAAATGGACTTTGAGGGTAAAGGGCTGACATTATCTTAAGCCTTTGTTATTTGAGAAAGAGAGGATGTTTAAAAAAACATGAAAGTTACTATACTACAGCGTTCATTTTAAAGCACAAAAACACCGTCTTCTCAAATAGTTGAGATCCTGTTTGACAACACTGAGAATTTCTCTGAAAGTTTGGTTGTATTTTATTATATGTAACCTGAGCTAAAAATACTCTCATGTATTCGTCATACTGAGACTGAAACCCCATCACTTCATCTGCCATGTAAACATATTGTATATGTTAGAGTAAGAAAGATTTCTGCCAAACTATTACACGTACTGTATATATGTGGATATGTAAACGAGGGAAATAAAGAAAATGTAATCAGATTAATCGCAAGGTATCAGTACATAACTCACATTAAACAATATGCTAAAGTAAAATTCTTAATTTTACTTCAAAGAGTTCAGATTTTAGCCACTAGTGTGCATCTCGATGTTGGCTTTTAGAACATGTCGAGAGCTGTTTTCAAAACTTTCCTGAACGTTATAATCAGTCTACAGTCTCCTCTCAACCCATTTGACAAATGTGTCAGTCAGATGGACAGACGTATTTACTGCAGTTTGCTCAGTGAGACTCATCTGACACATTTATAACTTTTCTAACCAGTGTTTGTGACAGCAACACTTGAAATGTTAGATTGTTTTTCATGTCATATCGTAATTAATAAGGATGAGCTTTTGTGCCAGAGAGGCATATCTTTATGGCAAAAAAGGAAAATCTCAGCATGTGCCCCACCTGCTGGGCAAAACACACTTAACTCAGCTTGATGTTAGCATGAGATATTGGCCCAGTGCCAACGTCTGAGGGGAGGGATTCAGAACAGAGGGATTATGACCGTCCCACTGTGAAATCTCTAAATGTATGACGGCCATGTTTCAGCTATTCCATGGCTTGTCATACAGCTCACTGCAATCATGAAAAATCTCAACATAATTTCTGGCTGTAAAAATGTCCCTCTTTAGTACAGTATTCAGTCAGTATTCACTAAGACTGGAGGACTGAAGAGACATTTGTGGTATTTTCTGTGGTCTACCACAGATGTGAGATTGAAGCCACACTGGAGAGACTTAAGAGGCTGGAGAGAGACCTGAGCACTAAAGAGCAGGAGCTAAAGGAGCGAGAGCGACGGCTAAAGATGTGGGAGCGGAAACTCATCGAAGAGTCCAACAGTCCGGTGAGTTCCTCGCTGTGACCTCCTTCCTCTTTATTCAACCTTGGTTAATGTTGACCCTCAGGCCAGCATCTACAATCAGCAGCACAAGCACCAGCACTTAACCTTTTCATTGTTGTTGTTTCTGCCAGAGGAAACAGGAAGGTAGCTTAGTCAAAAGAAGAAAAGGAAAACCGTGTCAGATTCACTGACATTACTGTATTTACATACAGTCTAATGGAAAGTAAGAACTTTTGAACTTTGATGCACAAAGCCAAAGTGCCTGGAAAACATTATGCAGCCGACACTAGGGATGGCTCAATGTATCAACATTGACAAAGACAACCAATACCTAAGCCCACATGCTCAACCGAACTTTGACTGAGATGGTGTAAAAATGGACCCCTATCACCTCAGCACATCAACCCACTGCATGCTGGGAGAGAAAGGGTATTGGATTGATATCAGTATCGGCAGATCCTCAAAGTTGCAGTAACGGTATTGGACATGAACGTTGTATCAAGACAGCCCTACTTAATACAAGGGTTTCTTTCTATCCATGAAAGATGGCTGAACAAAGGGATTTCAGTGCAATTATTTCACTAAATTTACAGAAATTACTGCTGTGGCATATAAATGTGTCCATTAAAAATATTACACTTTTGCAAAGCAGAAATGTCCGGCCAGGCCTCCGTAGAGCACATTGTTTCTTAGGCTTTGCCAATTAGATGGTTGCCTCTTGAAGGTACAAAGAACTTAAGAGCATTAAGAGAAGCAAAGAAACAGTTCAAAGACCATTAACCTCCACTCGCACTGGTAAGATCATATTCTTACAGAGTAACATTTCCTTCTTCAAATCTGAGCTCTGTGGTTTAGTTCACGGAATACTATCAGTAAGAACTCACAAGACCAAATGTTTGCCCAGGTTGGTAGTACAGTATGTGACAACAACAAATTGTTGTGACTTGTATTGATATTGTTAGCATGTGTTGAAAGACACGATGTACAGTCCCAAGATCAAAGGTCTGTGTCAGACCTTGCTTTTTCTTACTGACGCGGCTCAGTGACCTCGGGCAGCAATGCTGTTTTGAGAATTTATACTTTAAAACTCCACACCACAGCACAGAGTGACGCCGCAAAAGACGTTTGAAACCCTCCACCTATGTATATTATGGATGTCATGTAGCGTATGCCTAATGTACTGGCTGTATAGAGCCATGCTGTGAAGAGAGCCACACCAGCCACTTGCTTAGAGAAGGCCAGGCTTTTATGATGAAGTGACATTTTGCTGACATTAAGATTGGCCAATTTGTTCAGGACGTGGTGGAGTGCAGTTGTTCAGATGCACTCTTCTTACCAAGAAGAGAAAGTACATGTTTTTTTCCTCTGACTGACCTTGGTTCAAAACAGCAGGAGAGAGACCATATGTTGCAACTGTTAGTCTAATATTTACATTTCGACGTTTCATTTTTAAGATAGATTTCGCCCTCAGGACAGGAGGGTATAAACATTACTTTTTTCAAGGTATGTCTGCACTTTCATCTGTACTTTTATTAGGGTCGTGTTTCCATATTTAGCATATTGAGCATAAATTAGAGGACTATATCACTGAGTGCTAGTATCCTGGCTAGTGAAAATATTGCATCTGCCTCCTTGTTCATTTATTACTATGCCTCCTCAGGGGAAGGACCAGAGCACAGCCCATTAATTTGTCCCCTTCACTTGTTGCTGTCGCTCAGTCTCTGGAGGAGGTAATCCTCTGTGTTCCTGTCTTGTTACCTTAGCTACCATGAACAAGTGTTTCTACTAAGACATTATCTGAACCATCGTGCCCAACAATTAACACAGGCTCTCACTGGTATTTACCAAAAAAACTTCCTTTTACTTTTCTTTCACATATGCATCTCTATATTAACATTAGTATCCAGTGTCAACATACGTGTTTCAGAATGACCAAATCCTTGAATGTTTTAGCTCTGAAAACTAACTAATTGATATAAGTTATACAAAAAAACACCCAAAACTAACAGTAAGTGTAGCAGTGTAGAAAAATTTTAGTTACAATGCAACCAAAAAAGACAATATACAAATATATGATTCGCACATATATAATATTTCAGGGTCAATCAGACAAGTGTTTGCTCTTTGCCAGCAATATATGACTTTGAAAAATGTGGATTTTTTTTACATTTTCCCGTAGTTCCTAAAAACAACTGTGTACTGGTAATGACTCATGAATACGAACTTTTGCAGTTGCTGCCCACACTGGACATCTACGGCTGGACTGAAGAGCATGTGGTCAGTACATACTGAACTAAGTTACCTGGTATCCTAAAACCATCGTTATGAAAATCTCACATGTAACTACATTTTTTCTTTTCTTTTTTTAGTATTTCTGGATGCAGCAAATATTTGGTGCAGGTGTGTTCCCTTACTGATTTTTCTAATTCACATATGACAAATACATTCTTCACTCATCTTAATATAACACATGTAAGCTTTGTAATACTGTTGTACTATAATAATGTTTAAAAAATGTTAATTTGTCCTCCTCTCAGGAGAAGGACCGTGTGACATGCAGCTTTACGCTGATCTGTTCAGAGAAAATCACATCACTGGGAAGAGGCTGCTGCTGCTCACAGAAAATGACATGAGGGACATGGGGGTCAAGTCTAAAGGTCATATCATGCACCTGAAGGCAAGGCTCAGGAAACATGGATGATCATTCATTTTAACCACACATAAGGTTAAGCATGGAAAATGTGACTCTTTTGTCTTCCATTCTTCAGGGGGAAATTGAAAAGTTAACTCACGACTACCTCGGTTTCCTTCACTTCCCACCACTATTAAAGGTATGAATGTTCTCAGCAGG